TTTTTTTTTCTAGGTGTTTGGCAGAAAAAGCTTTCAATACCAATTAAAAGTTTCAAGTTGTCGAAGCAGACGTGAAACGAGTATAGTGCTAACACCAACATTCTGTATCAGTAACGTCTTTGTACATTTTTTTCCTTTCAAGTTTTAGTGTAAAAGTTTTTTAAGCTACAAATAATGCATATAACTATTGCGCGGCTAACAGCAATAAAACAAAAAAGATAGAAGAGCAGAAAAATTTTTTTGAAGAAAAGATCAGCACAGTTAATTTGTTGACTATACGAAACGGCAATAAGCAAAAGCTTTTACTTCTACAACTTCACAGTAGAACAGTTGATGTTTTTGAAGCTACAAAAAGCCAGAAAAAAAATTTTTTTTTATTGAACAATTAACTACAGGTGTTTTCAAACATTATGAGATGTTTTTGAAAAATAAAAAATAAAAAAGGAGAAAAATAATCAACGAAAACAAAGATAAATTATGAATTAAATATTTGAATACAGCAAACCTTTTGAAGGTCCTACCGGAGGTTTATGCGCAACTATAGTTAAATTCTTGGTTTCTTCAGTGATAGGCAACATCTTCACCTGCTAATACACACCACCTATTACCAGCAACATCATCTAACGTTATTCGTTTGACTCAAACTGAAGTGTCAGACAATTTCTTATTCTAACTTTTTCAGCCTTTCTATTTTTCTTTTTGCTTTGGCTGCTTATTTGTGCAATTTAACTATAAGATTTGGAAGCTGCAAATGTTTTTTTCTCAGCGTATTAACCACAGATTTTGTTAAGTCCTATAGATGTTTCTTTCTGAAAACAACACTGAAGACTTGAACATTAATGTTATCAATGGCTTGCTAAGTTATCGGTTCATTAACAACGAACAATGTACACATAATCAGCGAACAAAGTCAAGATGTTTTAAAAACCTCTTCAATTTTTCACTCTTATTCTTCCAAAAAAAAATCTTTGTTTGTATTCACAGCAAAATCAGCTTATCACCAACAGATCTATGCAATTTAAGCTCAAATACTGACAATACAACACCGTGGTTATTTCCTTAAAGTTGGTTTTTTTTTTCAATCAATATTTTGACATAAGTAACAGATGAATTTTTTTTTAAAAGTAAGTAAAAGAAAGTAACATTAAAAATAACAGAAAAAGCACACAAAACAACGAGAACAAAAAAAAAAAACACAGAAGAAAGAGTTAAGCTAAATTTTTAAACATTCCAGCAAAGCAAACGACCAAATCTTAGAGTGCTGTTAAGTAAGTGGTATGAAACAGAGGCATAAAAATTTAATTTGTGCAATAAGAGGAGGGGAGAGAAGGACGATTGAAGCAGTTTTTCTTTCATTTTCTTCCTTCTATATCACAACTCTAAATAGGCTTAGTTATACGAGCAGCTTGGTTTAAGAGGAAAAAGATGAAAAAAAAAAAAAAAAAGAAAGAAGATGAAGATGAAGAAAAAGAAGAAGGCTCAAAGCTGCGCGGTTGAGACACATTGAGCTAAAGAAAAGACCTGTTGTGATGAGAAAAAGTGCTTTAAAGAGGGATCTTTTTATATTCATAAATTAAAAAAAATTGAAGTAAAATTTACAAAATTAAACTTCTTGTTTATAAGAATGTTAAGTGGCATTTGATAACCTGAATATCAAGCGTAAGAGAAGTCTGCAAATTTCAAATATCTCTGTTAGCTGTTTTGTCGGTAAGCAAACTATGAGGTAACAAATCTCAAAAAAAAAAAAAAAAAAAGGGGGGGAAAAGAGAACGGTATGACTGAGAAGTGCAAAGCGGTACAGTTTTTAGAGAGAAAAAAGGTTAGTTTGGTTGGTTTATCAACTAAATCCAAGGATGGCGACTTCTGGAAATGTTTGCAAAGTGTATGCCATTGAGAGGACAAAAAAACCATTTGGCCTCAGTGACAGATATCTGTTTAGAAGAGGAAGAAATTCAAACTTTCCTCTCCTCCTTCCCTCTCAGCTTCCAAAAAAAAAAATATATTTTGAAGCAGATGAAAGTGAAAAGAGAGAAAGAGGAGGAAGAGAAACAAAGAAAAAATATGTATGTGTGAGGTTTTTTCTCGTTTTTACTAATGAATAGTGACATTTTCATCTCAGACAGTTCTTTCACTTTTGCTTTTGTAAAATCGCTTGTTTATTTAATTTCCAATTTTTTTTCGTAATCTTTCTTTTTCGCCTTCTTTTCGACATCTTTTTTATCTTAGATACATTGTTTGAAAGTGGGTAACTGTTTTTCGTTAAGGCTGTCAAGTTGTGATTTCAGTTGCTTTCATATTTCTCTGCTTTTTTTTCGGTACTTTCGACTGTTTTTCACCTATTCAGCTCTAATATCAGAATCAAATTTGTGTTTTTGTGTGTACGCGCTTCTTCTATTTTTTTTTTCGTTGTTATCTTTGCTCAAAAGTTCTTTCTTTTCAGTCGAAAAACTTAATGGTTATGTTGTTTAGAATAAAAAAAGAGTTGTTGTTGTCGTTTTTCGACTTATACAATAATTTTTTCTTTTGTTCAATTTGCAGAAATAACAAAATGAATAAAAGGAATGAAGAAAAAGAAGTTTAGTTTTTTCAAATACTTGCAGTAAAGAAGAAGAGGAAGTCTTTTTTTTAATATGATAAAATATACCTAATCTACCAGCAGCGGTTTTGGCGCTGTTTGGTGTCAGTAGTTCTAACGATACTGTTGTTTCTGTATCGCCCTTATTTATCAAGTCTTCAGATTGAGCTCGAAGATTACCTCTTGAAACCTAAAAAAAAATTCTCTTTTGTTTTCGTTCTCTTTTTTTTTTTAAAAGTCAAAATTCCTTAATCATTTTTGCTCTTTTACATTCATGAGTACTTTTTTTTTTTTAAAATCATTCAGTTTTGAGTAGAGCTCTCTCATCAGTTGAGTAAAATAAAATTACATTGTGCTAAAAACAAATTTGATAAAAAATTGTTTAGCGAGACTTCATTATGTTTTAAGCCTAATTTAAGTTTTTATTCAGCGTTTTAACTGGATAGGTTAAGCTGAAAAGCAGTAGAAATACTATACAATACTGTACTGTTTTGTAACCATCAGTCTGTTACAGTGATATGGTTTGAGGATAAACTCAAAAATAAAATAAAGCCGTTTTTATTAAACTTCGGCTAACAATTTTTTTAAAAGACTGAATACAAAGGCAAATTTTTAACATCTAAATGACATAACTTCAACTAAGAGAAATCAAAAATCTTTCTGAGACAACTAAATTGGCGGAAGACAGTTTAGTCGGTGATCCGTTTTAATTTTTTTTTATTTTTGATACTTCTTGTACCTTTTTTCAGTTTTAGTGCTACAAGTTTGATACTTCCTGTACCTTTTTTCAATTTCAGTGCTATAAGTTTGAAAAAGAAAAAAATAAAAAATTTTAAAAATTTTGAATGAGAAAACATTGTTGTTGAATTATTTGCTGAGGAAATGTCGTTAGGTGCTTTTCCAGTCAAAACAAAATGTCTTCAATTGCCGACAGCTTTCAAACGGTTTATATAGCCGATAAACTAGAAGTTAGCATCTGATTAAGATACTAGTGTTTGTTTCAATAACAAATTTTAAGTTTTTATTAGTTTTTTCTTGATTTTAAAATCTGCTATTGATATATCAGTCTTTGGAGCTAACAGACTTGATCGCTCAATTGAAAAAATATTTCTTCAAAAGGTTCGTCTATCAAATTTATCTTCAGCAGATACCAAAATTGCGTGAGTTGTTGAAGTTTTTTAAAGTTTGATTTTTAAGAAGATTAAAAGATAAAAATATGTTTAAAAAAAAGAAAAGAAAACACAATTTTTTTTTTACCTTAGCATCTTTTGCTGAATTACCAAGATCGTTCAACTTGTTAAGCGTATCTGTTGACATAGCTCTTGCACCAAACTTACCACTATCACCTTTTGGTGGTAAATTGACAGTGAAACTTGCACTTAACGTGTTTTTTTGAACTGGTTTTTTATCACTGTCAGATTCTTCACTTTCCTTCTGCAAAGCCATCAATAAGAAAAATTGAAACTGTTTAGTGATTAATTTTTTCAACCTGCAGTAGGGAAGATAATTACATTTGCTAACTTTTGCAGCATAAAATGCTTGCAGAGATTAACTAACCGGTACTATATACATACGCTCGTACTCTATTAACAATTGTTTTTATTGGAGTAGCACAAAGGTTTTTAGCTACAGTTATTTGAACAGAAAACAAACTTGATCTAACCTTGTCACTTAAATCTTCTTCGGAAGTATCGCTTACTTCTGAGATCTCATTATTTGCTTTACCGGTTTTCAGCGGTGAGCTTGACTGAGAAAGAGAAGCTGTTGTGGTAGTTGGGATTGACTCTGATACTTTTTCCGTTTTCTCAGTCGTTGTGTTTTCTGCAATTTTTGATTTTAAAGTTACTTAACAGCTGTAAAAATAAAACTGTTTTCAGTTTCTTATTATTAATGTTTAAAAATTTAATTTATTAAGTACTGCCTACATAAATTTATAAGACAATATATGTAAAGCAGATATTCCTTGCTACAAAAAAACTAAGATTACCGGAAGATTGTTGTACTTCAACCGGCTTAATGTCTTCGGTTTCAAAGGAGTATTTTGACGGTTGAAAGAAGTCACCAACTTTTGGCGTTGTTGGAGTGGCATCCAAATTCGTTTCCTTAAATAAGAGAAAGTGCATTTCAAAAATACTCTTAGTGCGAGAGTAAAATTTGAAAAATTATTCACGTTTTTTGTTGATATAATTATTTGTAGCTAATGTTTAAAATTTACTTTGTCTTGAGCACTGTCTGGACTTATTGTGTCCAATGGTGTTGGTGTAATTGCACCAACACTGTCCTGATTCACCGAATCATCATGTTCGCTGCTTTCTGGACTCAACTCTTCGTCGCCGAGTGAAGCTTCTTCATTTTCGCTGTGTGAAATAAATTTCCGATAAACTTTTGGGGATGCTAAAATTTATTGGCATAACATGACAACTCATGTGAATATTGCAGAAAGAAAGAAAAAAAAAGTTTGTTATCAAACTTGTTCTTAATTAATTAATAAATTTTGTAAAGTCATGAAAATCAGTAAAATAAAATGTAAATTTAATGAGTTTAGAATTTTTGTCTATTCTATGACTTTATACTGTCAGTAATTTTGCACTTTGATTTTGCACTTTGTCTTCAATTTATAAATGCGTGTTCGTTAGTTTTTAGTTCGCTTAACTACTTAAAGCCAATGCTATAACCTATGTCTTTTTTTTTGTAAAAACAGATCTTGTTTACTGATTAATTGTTATGTTGATTGAAAAAAGTAACAACGTTGAATGGTTGATGGAAAAGACGCGCCAAGTGATAAATGAAAGAAAGCTCACGTGAACTTTTTGTCTTAACCTGTCAAAATTGACAAAGATCTGAGACAAGTTCAGGCAAAAAAAAGTAGCGGAAAAAAATTTGATGGTGTCAGTGCATTGGAGTACTTCCAGCATTATGTGCTCATGCTTTTCATTTGTAATAGCAGTACAAACTTTCTAGGTGCTGTCTGGTATCTAAAGCTACAGCGTATCAGTAAAGCGGATGTTTGTATTTGGTTGTTGTTATTTATTACCTGAATTGTTGCTGGAACCAGAACTTGATTTTTCAACGCTTTTATCGTTGACATATCGATCATACAGTTTTTTAAACGTACTTTCGACGTCATCAGGTGATTTTTCCTGCAACTCAAAATAAGATAAACAATTAGTTAAAGCAGGAAAAGTTTGAAAATTGGTGTTTAGCTTTTTCGTTTTGTCAATGTTTGTGTGTATTATGTGGTCATCAAAATATGACGATTCAGAAGTCAGTAGAAAAAAAAAGGAATAAACATTATCAGTCATCTCAACGTATGCTTCTCTTGTTATTTGCTGTCACAGTTGAAGTTGTAAAATTGATTTTAAAAAGCTGCTGAACGTTACTTTGTCGACGGAAAAGCGCGACAAAGATTTATAATCTCTGTTGAATTGTGAACTGCTTTTTCGTTCACTGCCATAATTTGGTGTTTGTGACCGAAAAGTTGACGGTGTTGGAGTATAGGTGGTCCGCGGCGATGTATACGATGGGCGATAACTGAAACAGGTTTGTCCAAAACAATAAAAAAATTGAAACAACTTTTTTTTACAGTTTATTACCTAGAAAAGCAAATAGTTCATGGTTAGCCCAAAAAAGCTTCTATTACTTGTGCATTTGCGACTTGAGATAATGATCTATTTGAAATGTGATAAGGAAAAAGTTTCAGGCTCTCAGCCATGAGATATGTAACGGAAAAGACAAGTTCTGCTTTCCCATTTTATAAGCTTGAAATATAAATAAAACGAGAATAAATTACGGTGACGGACGATCGAATGTTGATGTTCCATACGATTTTCCCTTTCCAATATCGTTTAGTGAATACGCTAAAAAGATAATTTTGGCATTTGCATCTGACCATAATAAAAATGAAAACTTATTCGTGTTACTGTTACTGTCTTTTTTATGCTTTATTATTATTTATTTGTTCCATAACGTTGGCATTAGCAAAAGACTGTGGTGAAAAAAATAAATTGATGAAGAAGTTCAAAATTTTTGTACCGTTGCTTTCTCAACCGATAAAATGATTAATCGTTTTAGTAAATTAATACAAAAACAAGAAAACTTTTTTTTTACCAGATCCATAACTTGTGCTTCGCTTCGGTGTATAGGTGCTGGTAGTGTGATGATATGGAGTATACGAGGAACTGCTATATGACGATGGTTTATATGAATTTAGCAAATCACTGCTACCGTATCTGAAAAAAAAATTTTTTTTCAAAGAACCAAAAAATGAAGAAAAAACATCTTTTATTTTTAAAACGGTCAATTTAAGTATCAAGAAAAAAATGTTCTGTTCAGATAACAGTTTAATAACACAAAATACTGTAATAATGCAACTGACTTTTGGGCTGCAAAGAAACAATGACAAATGAGATAAACATTATGTTTTTTTCTGCTTTTTTTTTCGTTTTTTTTTTTTTCAAAACTTGTTTAACGTACCAAGTACCTAAAAAAACAGAAGAAAAAAGGAAATGTAGAATAAAAATAATTGTTTTAGAAAGAGAAAAAAAACTAATGTTTTTTATTTTGTTTAACTGAATTTTAGTAGAAGATAAAATAGTTGCATGCAAATTTTGGCAGTTATTTTTTAACTATTTTATTGTCAAGAAAAAAAACGGATTATTCTTTAGTTGTCAAATAATGTATAATATGTATTGCTCTTTTGAGACAAATTTCTTTTTTGCCATTTTTTTCCTCGGATTTTTCATCCAAACAACAAAATAACGTAGCTTTCTATTTTTTTTTGTTTTAACCATTGGTTTACATCAAAATTCAGTAGCTATTGTTTTTCGTTGTTGCTTTTTCAGGCAACTAAACTAATGCTACTATTATTACCGATTGGAATTGGTTATTGTGCTTTTGAATGGTGAGGCATCATGATGATAACTGGAAGACATTCCAGTAACGAATGGTGAACGACTGGACATCAGTGATGTTGACGGTGTTCGCTGAAGATCGTGAGCAAATGGATCCACGCTCACCGAACGTCGTGGCCGATGGCCAAGCTGTGATGCTGACCTGTATCGCGAATAAGACTGAAACAAAACAGCACTGATACATGATTCTGATTTATAGTATCGATGCTTGGTTTATTCACCACCTTCTTCTTAACTGTTATATTAATCAGTGTTCATCAAATTTTTGTGGCTATCAAACAACAGCTTTTTCAAAAGAAAAAAATGATCGCTATAAAACTGATAATCATCTGCTAAAGCAAAAGAAAAAAAAAGCATCAATGTCTCAAATTACAAATTAATACTTTGGCGTAATTTCTGGTAGGGTAAATTAGCTGCAAATGCTGTTTGCTTGTTTGCACAATTATGGAAAGCTTCTAAAGAGAAAGGTTTAAAGAAAAAAATGATTTTCCAAAAACAAATTTTTTTTTTAGGAGTGCCAGTCTGAACAGTGTTAAATGATACGTCAGAGAAAAAAAAAAAAGAAAAGATCAAAAAA